GGGGGTGGCTGGGCAGGGCTCGGTGGCTCTCACCCTTTTTTGCACAGGACCCAGTGCCCCCCGGGGGTGGGGCTGTGGGGGGCCCAAGCAGCCTCTGTGCGGGGGAAACGCCGCCGTTTCCCTCTCAAGGAGAATCCAGTTTTCAAGTGTGTTCCCGACCCTTTCATTTATCCTTGGGACCCGCTTTTGGGCCAGGACCCAGAGGTTGAGAAATGCCGGGCGAGGTGACGTCTGGAGGTCCCTTCCAGCCCTACTGCTCCATGCCTCTGAGAGACAGACCCCGTGGCGGGGGCGCGGGGCCGCCAGTGTGGTGTTTTGCTCGCGGTGTCCTGAGCTGGCTGGGAGGGGCTGGCGCGGAGCCTGAGCTGTGTCTTCCTGTCCCGCGGCATAAACAAGTGGATGCGGCACCTCCGTGTTGGGAGCCGGAGGCCTGGCTCCCACAGGGCTGGGCGCTCTTGGCTGCGTGGAGTTGGAGAGGCAGAATGGCACCCTGGAAGTTGCCTTGCTGCCAGCGCAGGGGCTTCCCAGGGGAACCTGCTGCGGTGAGGGACCCTCCCCATATGGAGGGGGAAGGTTGGGGGGATTTATACCGTGCGGCCTGGGGAGGAACGCACTAAAGGCACTTTTGCTAAGTTTCTTCCCCAGCTGTGTCCCAGCTCCCATGTAAACCAGAGGCTGCGGGTGTGGAGGCTGCTGGCACAGCAGATCCTGGGTATGCTCGCTCGCCTCCCTTATTTTACTTTAGGAAGCCAGTTCCCCTCCATGCACAGAACCCGCCTTGTCAGCAAGGCTGCGGCCAGCTGGCTGGAAGGAGCCCTGATGCGGAGCTGCTGAGTGCTCAGGAAACCTGTGGAGGAGTGGTGGGGCAAAGGCATCTCTACTTCCTACCCACACCGGTGTCTCCTCCTCCAGTGCTGGAGCTCATGGCAGTACATTGATGGAGGATGAGATCATGCAAAACAAGGCTGGGCAGCAACTTGATCTGGTGCCCAAGTTTTAGTGCTTCTTCTGCCTGCGCTAAGGGAGCAGCAGCAGCATCTTTTCTGAAACTTCACTTAACAGGGGTTTATCACAGCTCAGTCTGTCTCTCATAAGCATGCACCCTGCAGATGCAGAGTGTCGTGAAGAGGGATTAGTTCTCAGGAGCCCTGCTATTAAAAGACTAATGAGTAATAACTTTGAGCTGGGGCTTAGGCTGGTAAGAGCTGCTTGGGACAGCGAGTGCTCAGCTCATTAATGTCTACCCCCTCTCAGCACACAGGTAGTGGGGGATGTTTGTGGGATCTCCTCTGCTCTCAGGCTTGCAGCAGGAGCCAGGGGCAGAGAGGAGCTCTGTGCCAGAGCATACGATCCCCCATGGATGATGTGTGACACGGCCTTTCCCTCCAGCACGCCTGATATCAGGAGCTGTTCTTCCCCCACACTTGGCCATGGGTGAGATCACCTTTCACCCTCTCCCGTAGGGGTAACCTGAACAAATCCAAGCTGGAGCAACAGAGAGGGACTTGGAAATTGTTCTCAGCAGCCAGCTGCTCTGCAGTCCCTACATCAATTGAATTAGTGGGTTTTGGCCTGGCACAAAACCACCCTGAGACGCATCCCTTGGGTTGACAGAAACTAGGAGGGGAATGGTTATGGAAGAGCTCCGTCTTGCTTTAAGTGATGGCTGGGGTATGTCTTATCAGGTCAGCGGTGAGGCTGTGCTGGTGACCAGGATTGCATAGGGGGGGAGTATGCATAGCGTGGGGACGGAGACTTTCAATCTTCAGGGCTGTTGCTTCCAAGGCTCTGGGGCTAAGACTGTGCAAAGGCTGATCTGCCATGCGGAGCCCTCTGCAAAGAAGCAGTGCTCTGGGGGACAGTGCATAGGCAGACCACTACTCTGCCCTCTGTGGGGCAGGTGCCCTGGTGGTCTTGGGCCTTCCCGTGGAGTTTCTGTGTAGGTCTCGTGTGTGTTCTTGAGACAGGCCAGGGCAGCTTGCCCCTGCTGGTGTTCACTTGTTAGAGGATGTATCTGGCCCTGCCTTAATGCTGAGCTTGGCTGTCTTTGCCCCCCTTGTCTGCCCAGCTCTGCATTTCCATTCTTCATGCCTCCAGAGAGGCCATTTTTCATCTTGTTACAGACACAAACTTTCTCCAGTGAAGAGCCGGAAGCTTGGTTCCCTAACCTACCTGTCCCACTCTGCTTTCACTGGTGGGCAGGAGGGTGAGAAAGGTGGACAAGAGCTCTTTTTCTGTCCCATGGGGTGGGTGGCACTGACTCTGAGCGTCCCTTCGCAGCCTCCCTGCAGCCAGAGAACTGGAGGGAGTGGTTTGCAGCAAAGAATGATTAGGCTGAGTTCTGTGAGATAGGGATAGATCCCCAGCAGGATATGGACATGCTATGCTGAGCCCAGGGTGGAAGGGGATAAACCCCCTAGGAAATGCGGGACTACTGCAGTCATACTGCAAGATTTGGGGTGATGTGTTAGGACAGATCCAGGGGGTGCAGTGGTGTGCTTGTGCCCTCCATTAACTGACAGTTTGATGTCCAGATCTGTGGTGGTGACAGCCAGATGCATGCACAGTGAGCTGTCTGCACCCTCCTTTTCACTGTCCTGGAAATCAAAGACCCAGAGAAGGATGTATTGACCACAGATGATTCCCCTCAGCCTGGTCTGTCCCACCATCCTGCTTCCAGCATATTTCACTATGGGTCTTCCCCTGCCATCATTGGAAGAGGCTGAGACGTTTGATAACAGTTGGAAACCTGGAACCTTCCTGCCCCCGTGTACAGACTAAATAGAGCAGTACATCTTCCTGTGCTGACGACAGAAATGTGCTTCTTTGCATAAACCTTGGTGCTGATGGAAACAAGGGGGTGTGAATGCTGGGCCACTGACATTGTGAGACTGGGAGCTGGGAAACAGCAAAGCAGTGTGGATAAGACTGTAAATGCAGGAGTCCTGCAATTGCATTTTTCTCCAATTCAGATTTCATTTAAAGACCTTGGTCTGTAGCTGGGAGTGCACGAGGTGCATATGGGGTTTCACCAGCCACGTTTGCTTGTACTGAGTTGCGTTCTTGCTTACAGGTGACTTCTGTGAGGTAAACCAGTGTAAGAATGGGGGTACCTGCCTGACCAACGTCAGTGATGGTCCGTTCTTTTGTCTCTGCCCGGATGGTTTCACTGGGATTGACTGTAACGACACAGAGAAAGGTACAGTTGCGAGGCGCACAGACACTCCACTTCCTGAAGTCTGATCTGATCTCTGCATAACGCAATGTATCAATAACAACACAGCAAAGTGTATGGATCCTCACAGGCCTTGAGGGCACTAGCCTTTGGCAGACTGCCTCTATCTGTTGGTCTCAAATTCCAGCCTTGCTGATTGATGACTTTTGCCCATGTTTTCATTGGTGCCCTACCCAGGCACTTGAATTCTGGCAGGTCTCAGTTGCTTGGGGTGTGTTGCTATCTCCAGGGACATGAGGTAAACCCATGGCTGCTGGTTTGCCATGAGTAAGAAGAACCAAATAGAGACTGAAAATATCCTTTATTCTCTATCAGTTGGGTGGTCAGTCCACCTGACAGAGGGAAATATGCTAGGGTACCACGGATTCAAAGCTCTTCAGAAAGCATACATTTTTATACAGGTATTCTTTTTTGAGCCATCCACTCACCCACTCATAAGCTAACACCAGGATGCCCACAACTAGGTACTGTTCCTTTCTGTTGCCTAAAATTACATTACTATTTCAATCTACTTTCCGCATTCCTTGACAGTCTTTCAAGTCACCCAGGAAGCAACACCTTGATTGAGGTGATACTGAATAGAGGCAGACAAGGTTCTTTGGGTAAATCTGATATCTCTTTAGACCAGCTAAATAGTTGGAAAAAATGTTCTTTACAAGCTTTTGGGCACAAACACCGTTCCTCAGGCATAGGGAGAGTTTGATGGTGTTTGTGTGCTCTCTTGGGTGGAGCATTTATAATCATTTTTAATCACTCTGACAACTCACAGACCTTCCAGCATATCTGTCACCTCCTTGTAGCACTTCCAGGATGGGTCTGACTATCAAACTGTCTTGTGACAGCCAGTAGGGTGAAGGTCTTCTCACCTGGGAACTAAGAAACACTGTCAAAGCATGCTTCATGTCCTTCTCCAGCAGCTGTTTTGCTAGAAGATAGCATCTTACTACTTCTAGCAGATGATGGAGTGGTATCGGTCTGTGCTGTGGAGCTGAAAATCCCAGATTCAAACCCAGATGCAGGCCAAGGGGAAGCTTTTTACAGGGTTACATTAGGTCCACACCTTGGGGGCCTAAGAGAACAAAACTCACTGTAGTAGCAGATATGCATGCATCCTTGGGCCATGAATTCACAGCAAAGGAACCCAACCCCAAACCTTCTGGAGCTTTCCCAGTTCCCTTTTGACAGCTGTTTGTCTCCTCTTCCTTCCAGGCCCCTGCCATCCTAATCCCTGCCACAACAATGGAGAGTGCCAGATCCCACCCAACAGGGGAGATGTCTTCACTGAATACATCTGCAAGTGTCCCTCTGGGTTTGAAGGCACCCACTGCCAAGAGAGTGAGTAGGAGCTACTTCTGAGGAGGGTGCTGGCTCTGGGTGAGGTGGAGCCCTGGTGGTGGAGGTTTTGCAGATGCCGCAAAGTCATCAGGATGTTCTCCCTGTGAGAGACCAGGTGTCCGCATGTTCTTCAGGGGTTGGGTTTGTTGTGTGCGTGTTTCGTTACCTTCCAAGTGTTGCTGGGCAGCACTGGGGCTCTGACTTACCCAACAAGAGGCCTTGCAAGCTTTGTTCCCACTGAGGCATCAAATGTTTCCCATCTAGAGCTGCGGAAATGTGCTGGGCAGCCTTGTGTGGTGACTCATTCTCCTTGCATACCTTCAAGCTGACTGGGTGGCTCTGGCTCCTGCGGCACAGAGGTCACGCAATTCTGTATGTCCTGCTGTCGCACCCACTGGGTCCTGTTCCTGGGCCATACCAATGAATCCAGGGACAGAGGGAGGTTAGCAGGGCTGGCTCTGGGTGCACTAAGAGAACTGGAGAAATGGTGAGGTACTGAGAGTGAGGCTGACAGGTGAGTGCATTTGCATAGCGCCCCCCCCTTGCATATCACTGGGCTTGATCAATGGCAGGATTTTGCCTTTGGGGATCTGCCTGACCTGCAAGGGAATTTCTGCATCATCTGCAGCCTAGAGTGGCATCATTCCCCAGAGTTTTGCATGGCTGGAGGAAAGAACCAATACTTCAGAGTCCAACCTTTCTCTAGTAGGGGCTTCCAGCAGGAGCAGCTACAGCTGCATACCGCCTGGCAGCCACAGCAAGGGCTGAGAGCATCTCCTTGGATTAAAGCTCCCCAGTAGCCTGACAGAGCAGCTGTGTGCTGGTGGCTCTGTGCCCTTTTTTCCTGTAGTACAGGGTGTGAACCGAAGATTTGGCATTACACCCTCAGTCTTTCCCTTCCTGTCTCCCCTAGACAAGAACGAGTGTTCCTCACAGCCGTGCAGAAATGGAGGCACCTGCCTTGATCTGG